TCTCTCTCACCTCCTCCCCCTCTCTCTCGCCTCCTTCCCCTCTCTCTCTCTCTCACCTCCTCCCCCTCTCTCTCTCACATCCTCCCCCTCTCTCTCTTCACTCTAGGAAGCTGCCGCGGTCGCCGCGACCGGCTAGTAACAGCTTGTTAGCAGCTTCTATCGGGTCTTGTTTGATCGTCGGACCAACCTCCTCCCCCTCTCCCTCACCTCCTCCCCCTCTCTCTCACTCCTCCCCTCTCTCCCTTACCTCTAGGAAGCCGTCCCAGCCAGGCGATTCTCCTCGCGGCACGGCTAGGTACAGCTTTTAGAGTCTATCTGCGTTCTTCTTGATCGTCCGGACCACCTCCTCCCCTCTCCCTCACCTCCTCCCACTCTCTCTCACTCTAGGGAAGCCCCGCGGTCGCGCACACGGCTAGGACAGCTTGTAAGGCTCTATCTGGTTCTTGTTGATCGCGGACCACCCTCCCCCCCTCTCTCTCTCTCACCTCCTCCCCTCTCTCTCGCCTCCTTCCCCTCTCTCTCTCACCTCCTCCCCCTCTCTCTCTCACATCCTCCCTCTCTCTCTCTTACCTCTAGGAAGCTGCCGCGGTCGCGCACGCTAGCGTTACAGTCCTTGTAGAGGTCGGATCTGGTTCTTTTGTTGTCGATCGGACCACCTCCTCCCCTCTCTCTCGCCTCCTTCCCCTCTCTCTCTTCACTCCTACCCCCTCTCTATCTCTCACATCCTCCCTCGCTCTCTCTTACCTCTAGGAAGCGCCTGTCGGTCTGGCGCACGGCTAGATACAGCTCATGCTAGCAGGCCTATGTCGGTGCTTGCTTGAATCGGTCGCGACCACCTCCTCCCCCCTCTCTTCTCTCTCACCTCCCTCCCCACTCTCACTCACCTCCTCCCCCACTCCCCTCACCTTCCTCTCTCCACCTCTCCCCCTCTCTCTCTCACATCCTCCCTCTCTCCTCTCACCTCTTAGGAAGCTGGCCGCCGGTCTTCCCATATCAGCGCACGGCTAGACAGCTTGTAGAGGTCTATCTTGGTTCTTGTGATCGTCGGACCACCTTTTTCCCTCCCCATCTCCCTCACCTCCTCCCCCTCTCTCTCACCTCCTCCCATCTCGCTCCCTGACCTTTAGGAACCGCCGCGGCTGTCCTGCCACGGTAAGGTACAAGCTGTTAGCAGGTCTATACTCGGTTCTTGTTTTGATGGCGTCGGGACCACCTCCTCCCCTCTCCCTCACTCCTCCCACTCTCTCTCACCTCTAGGAAGCGCTGCGCGGTCGCGCCACAGCTAGGTACAGCTTGAGAGTCTATCTTGCCGTTCTTGTGATCGTCGCCGACCACCTCCTCCTCTCTCTCCACCCCTATCCCTCTCTTCACCTCCTCCCCCTCTCTCACCTCCTCCCCCAACTCTCTCTCACCTCTAGCGAAGCCGCGGCGTCGCGCCCGACAGCTAGGCTACAGCTTGTAGAGGTCTATCTGGTTCTTGTTGATCGTCGAACCACCTCCTCCCCCTCTCCGCTCACCTCCTCCCCCTCTCCCCCTCACCTCTAGGAAGCCGCCAGTCGAGCCCGGTCCGCGCACGGTAGGTACAGCTTGTAGAGGTCTATTCTGGGTTTTCTTGTGATCGTCGGCGCACCACCTCCTTTCCCCCCTCTCTCTCTCACCTCCTCCTCTCTCACCTCCTCCCCTCTCTCACCTCCTCCCCCACTCCCTCGCAACCTCTAGAAAGCCGCCGCGGTCGCCGCACGGCTAGGTACAGCTTGTAGAGTCTATCTGGTTCTTTTGATGTCGGACCACCTCCTTCCCCCTCTCTCTCTCACCTCCTCCCCCTCTCTCACCTCCTCCCCCACTCTCTCTCACCTCTAGAAAGCCGCCGCGGTCGCGCACGGCTAGGTACAGCTTGTAGAGCCCGTCTATCCGTGGTTCTTGTTGATCGTCCGGACCAAACCCCTCCCCCTCTCTCTCTCTTCTCACCTCCTCCCCCTCCTCACACTCCTCCCCCTCTCTCACCTGCTCGCCCCACCTCTCCTCACCTCTAGAAAGCCGCCGGTCCGCGCACGCGCTAGGTCAGCCTTTGTAGAGGTCTATCTGGTTCTTGTGATCGTCGCGACCACCTTCCCCCCTCTCCCTCAGCCTCCTCCCACTCTCTCTCACCTCTAGGAGCCGCCGCGGTCGCGCCACGGCTAGGTACAGCCTACCTGTACGAGGTTCTATCTGGGTCTTGTTGATCGTCGAACCACCTCCCTCCCCCCTCTCGCCTCACATCCTCCCCCTCTTCCCCCTCAGCTCTAGGACAGCCGCCCGGCGCGCGCACGGGCTGTTACAGCTTGTAGAGGTCTATCTGGTTCTTGTTGATCGTCGACCACCTCCTCCCCCCTCTCCCTCACCTCCTTCCCTCTCCCCTCACTCTTAGGAAGCCGCCGCGCACAGGTTCTCGCACGGCTAGGCTACACTTGTTAGAGGTCTATCTGGTTCTTCGTTTGATCGTCGCGACCACCTGCCTCCCCCTCTCCTCTCACCTCCCCCTCTCCACCTCCCCCCACTCTCTCTCACCTCTAAGAAAGGCCGCCGCGCGTCGGCGCGACGGCTTAGGTACAGCTTGGAGAGGTCTATCTGGTTCTTGTTCAATTGCCGGGGTCGGACCACCTCCTCCCCTCTCTCTCTCACCTCCTCCCCCTCTCTCACCTCCTCCCCCTTCTACTCACCTCCTCCCCCACTCTCTCTCACTCTAGAAAGCCGCCGGCGGTCGCGCACGGCTAGCGACAGCTTGTAGAGGTCTACTCTGCGTTCTTGTTGATTCGTCGCGACCACCTCCGCCCCTCTCTCTTCTTCACCTCCTCCCCTCTCTCACCTGCTCCACCCACTCTCTCTCAGCCTCTAGAAAGCCGCGCGGTCCTTGCGCACGCTAGGTACAGCTTGTAGATCTATTGGTTCTTGTTGATTGTCGCCCGACAGCCGTGCATCAGTGCGTGCCGATTCTCCTCCATGAAGTGGAAGAGGCGGTCGAGGAACGGCTTCCTCTCTGTCTCCTCCCCAAGGTCGTACAGCTTCGCGAGGCTCTCCGAGCGCTGCAAAACACGGGGGCGCCACCGCTCAGCATCGCTACGGAGCGGCGTGAGGTAGGGGGCGGGCGGCAGTTCCGGTTGGTCTTTGTGTCAGTAAGTAAATTTGGAGCGGGGAGGGAGGCGAGGAGTTCGAGGGGAGGGGAAATTATGCTAATATTTTACTATTATTAATTATTATTATTATAAATTAGATAATCCCCGATTGGTTCTGTGGAGTTTCGGGTTTCGTCTCAAGAGAATCATCTTCAGGGCCAAATAAGAAAAAAAAATAATAGCAGGAATTGCGTAACATAAAAAAACAAAAGATAAATAACCATTTGTTTTGTTTGGGGATCTTAGTGTGGTGAAAAAACATGGTGAGCCCTTATACAGCATAAAACACGCATCCCCCGCGTTGCCACTGCCCATATCTTGGCAAGTGGAAAACCGAAGAGAAAGGGACGGCGTGTTGCACGTTTTCCATCCCGAATCTTACGTTAAATGGTCGCGGTCTGCGAATCGCACGGGTGTCGTCGCTAAGACGTCGGCCGACGAGAACAACCGCGAACGCACGGCCAGACGTTCGAGAGCGTGCGTCGACGACCGCAAACCGCCTGAAAGCGCACCTGTCCCGCTAGCAACGTCCCGCTCCGAATTCATTCGGGAAAATCACTAGCGGCGCGGCGCGCACAGCCACGGCCGGCGAGGTTGTCGTTCTTGATATCGCACACCGCTTGTTGTTCGTGCTTCGCATCCCGTCGCGGTTGCGCTGGCAACGGATGAGAGCGAGCACGGGATGTACCATATCTGCTCTGCATCGATACGGGTCTGGTGCGATCCGTCGTAGCGTCTATCTATACATGTGTTTGAACAAACAGGATGGCGCTAGTTAGGGTTATAACGTGGGCGTTGCCTGAGTCATCATATGGATAGTATATGCAGATACAGTGGAATCCCGGAGATTCGGCTGCCGACCTTCCCGTTTGAACGTAATGTATTCGACAAACGGAATAAAACTCAAACATACGAACGTCTTACGAATCATTCCAATCAGCGCGTTAAGACATAGCGTGCGCTTTTCGGCTGAGTCAGTTTAAGTACTGTGACTCATTTATTGTGGTTGTTTGCTATCATGATTGCACATAGGGTGCGCAGATACAATTTTTCGCAGATACGAACAATTCTTGCTAACGAATTAAATTCCTATCCGTTACACTGTCACACTGGCGTTGCACTGCACAGGAGGACTGACGACAACCAAAGCGTGAATTCACCTATCTGGCTAGACATGATTGACACACCAAGGACTGTCACCAATGTCACCACCTGTTACGATGTCCCCTCCTATAATCATTATGAAATTATCGTGAACTAACTCTCACCCGAGCAAAATTCACATTGACAGGACATTTCAAGGGCACGTGGACAACGAAACGATATTTTCATCTCAATGATCTCATTTTCCAGAACTTTCCAGGACAATCGCTTATATTCCAGAACTTTCCAGGACAAGATTCACTATTCAACCCAGAACTTTCCAGGACAATCGCTTATATTCCAGAACTTTCCAGGACGATCGCTTATATTCCAGAACTTTCCAGGACAATCGCTTATATTCCATAGCAACTTTCCAGGGCATCGCTTGATATATCGCAGAACTTTCCAGGACAATCGCTTATATTCCAGAACTTTCCAGGACCACTGCTCATTTTCCAGAACAATCCAGCACTATAATGTACTGTATACGCCATATTTTTCGCGTTCAGACATTTTCGCGAATTCAGACTTGATCGGACAGATTTTCGCGAGTGGTCTAATTCGGTCGGTCCGTGAATTCCCGATTCAGAACAGCGTGTTGTTAATTCCGGCCAACTGGAACAGCCAGTCTCCGCGAAAATTCACGGAAATTTCAAACCGCCGCGAAATGCACAGCGTATACGAGGATTCAGCTTTCGGCTGCACGTCGCACCGATCAGGGCCACAGATTAAAAAAATCTTTGTTTTTGCCCTCACCTCGATCCCAGGCTGAAAACGTTGGGTAGGTTAGGTCGGCTTTTATTTTTTATTTTTTGAGGGGGCCGTCTATTACAAAATTCTAGACGGCGTCTGACATGATCGGATGTGTGCATGGTGTGGAGATACCTTTTATGCTGACGTGTTTGTTCCCTTGGTACATGTATATATGTATTGCCTACGATTTATATAAGTTGACAGCGTATACAACTTGTTTTAAAAAAAAGAAAGCGGGGAAACATCAATAAAAATGTTTGAGTCGGCCCCTTTTTGGCGGATCGGTCGGGTGAGGGCAAACAGACTATTTTTATCATGGCCTCAGCATTCGGCCTGCACTCGCACCGATCAGAAGTATCGAACACGTAAACGACGAGAGGCGGCAGGCGCGCATCTTTACGCGCGGGATGGCGGATGCGAGCCAGCAGCGCGGGCGGATGCGCCGTGCCATGCCCGATGATGAGAGCGAGCGATAATCATGCCTGGACAGTAAGTGCAATCAATGCCCGAACGCACCTGCTACCCCCCACGCGTTCTTGTACAATCTGCGTCGGTATCTCATCTTTCTCTCCGTCTTATCTCGCTCCTGCAGGTCAGAACGCGATGGCGGGAGGCGGGGTCATGATGCCCCCTGGTGGCATGGCCGCGTACGGCCAGCAGATGGGGCCACCGCCCCCTAACTCGATGTACGTCGGTGAGCGCGGCGGTGGGGGCGCCACCGTCGGCGGCGGCGGCGGCATGCCCGTGCCGCCGATGCCGGCGTACGACCGACCGGTGCCGCCATCTATGGGCGGGTACAGCCGCGTGATGCCGCCGCCCAACGCCATGGCCGGAGCTCCCAACGCGATGGGCTACGGAGGAGGCGGCGGCGGAGGAGGAGCAGGTTACGGAGAAAGAGGCGGGGCAGCGGGTGGCGGCGCAGGAGGTCCGTTGCCGAACGTGATGCAGCCGTTTCCGGCGGACGCGCGCGGCGTAGGTCCGCCGACAAGCATGGGCATGGGGGCGCCACCGTCCGGCCTCGGCATGGGCGCGCCACCGAACAGCATGGGCGCACCGCCGTCCAGTATTGGCATGGGGGCGCCACCGTCGGGCATGGGCATGGGCGGCGGTATGAGCATGGGTGCGCCGCACTACGCCGAGGGCGCCGGCATGGGGGCGCCACCTGGTGGCGTGAATATGTCCGGCATGCCGATGCCGCCGCAGGGCATGGGTCACGGCCAGCAGATGGCGCCACAGCCCGGCAGCCAGGACGGCCGCATGCCACCGCAGCAGCAGCACCCGCCCGTGAGCCAGGCAGCGCCACCTGGCGGCGACAAGTGGAACACGCCGCCGCCGCCGAGCAGCTGGGCTACAGGTGGCGCCGGCGGGCGTGCGACAACCCCGACGGCGCCGTCTACGTCGTCGACGACGACGACGACGACCACCACGGTCGCCGCGGCGACGACGTCCGTCTGTTCGACGTCGTCAGCCTCCGATGCGCGCCCACAGATGGCGCCGCCGTCCGACGCGGGCCAGCAGATGGCGCCGCCGCCACCGACGACCGTCAAGGAGACGGTTGCCGTACAGGATCCGTTCGCTGACGACCCGCCAGCATCATCAACGCCGTCGTTCCGCGCCCCGCCGCCTGTAGGGGGCGCCGGCGGTGCAAGCCTCGCAAGCTCTATCGGGCCCGCGCCGACTGGTGGCGCCCCCGCTAGCATGGGTGGTGGCGCTGCAGCGATGGGGCCGGCGGCGGCCCCGGCGTCGTCGGGGTTTGGGAAGGGTTCCTATTCTAACTCGTCGATGAGCGGACTGACGTCGACGACGAGCTCGTACGGTGGCGCCGCCGCCGGCGGCAGCGTCGACCACGGGATGGCGCCACCGGACGTGCCGCCGCCGGCACCGCCGTTTGGGCGTGACGCGTACGCGGCCGGTTACCAAGGCAACCAGGCGCCGTTCCCGCGCTACGGCAACCAGTATGACAGCCACCCTCGCTACACGGACGTTCCACCGCGGCCCCCGTCACAGGACGGCCCCTACAGTCGCTACGCCAACTACTCGTCCACCTATCAAGTACGTTCCCGCGTAGCTGAAGTAAACAATGGTCCGTAAATTAGAAAGCTTTTCTGCCGCATTTCGTCGTGTTGGCGTGTCGATTTTTTAAACTTTTTTATTTATTTATTTAGGCAATTATCCATCATGTATAATACATAGCATACTTTTACAATCAATTCTGAATTCATAAAATTGGATAACTACCAAGGATATATATGCAAAAAGCATGGCTTATTTATATTGTGGTTCTTGGTTAGATTTGATCAACGTTATGTACACTGAGCGTCGTGTGTATTACAGCTGCTCGAACTAGCAGAAATAAATTTTTTACGTTGTACTATTTACGGTGACGTAATCACTGATATTTGATAAGATGATATAATGATTATGAATATAGGGCCTTATTATCTTATAAATATCGTATAAGTAAACTTAATATTGGCTTTGATGGGGTCATGATAGAGCTAGAATGAGGTTAGAGTTAAGACTAGTTAGAGCTAGACGATTATACTAGAGGTATAGTTAGGGTTAGGGTTAGGTTTAGGGTTAGGTTAGGTTTAGGGTTATGTTCAGGGTTAGGTTAGGTTAGGGTTGGGTTAGGGTTAAGGTTAGGTTACTATGTTTAGAAAGAGGATCACAGATTACGTGTGCGTGTGTGTGACATCGTTGGTGTTGTGTTTGTGTCGTCAGGGTCGCGTCGGGCCGCAGCAACGCGAGGCGTACGGACAGGGAAAGCGACATCCCGACTTTGCGAAGGTCACAGACGACGCGTACGGACGCATGGCGCCATGGCAACAGGGCAGTCCCAGCCGTGAGCGCATGCAGCCAGGTATGCCTGCGTGCTTATAA